GGGTTAAGAGGAGCATGGTATGTGAACAACAGGACACCATGAGTGCAGGTAGAAAACAGGAATTAGGTTCCCTGCTTTGGAACAGTGAACTCAGAGGAAGAAAGAATGACCAAGAACGGGAGGTTGTATACTGTACTGTCAAGGGCATGCTGCATGCAGTCAGATGAAACAGAGTTCAAAGCTCAACTTAGGCACTTGCAAATGTGTGGCCTTCTGTGAGGTACTTGGTCCCGTGCTGCTTGAGTTTTTTTCACATGCATGTTGAAGTGACTGACACTAGCTTCACAATGATGTTGTAAAGAATAGAATATAAAAGAATTTAGTGAAAAACTTTCATCCATTTTCGGTAACAACGGAACTTAGGAACCTTGCACATGAGCTCTACAACCTTTGGGCAGCAAGAATAAGCCATGTCATAGAGCAGAGCTGGGAAGGGGAAACACTTGATAGTTAGTTACCTGTCTCAAGAAAGAACAAAGAGTGACTAGGTACAGAAAAATATTGCTAAGCAGAGTCAACAGTCCAATGAGTAAGGCAAGCACCATCTGGGATGCTGCTATCCTGAGGATCCCACAAGATTATTTTCCCAGAAGACTTCTAAACAGACAGACAGTGAGCAGAGGACTAGTGGGAAACAGGATGGGTAATCGGGTGGTTGAAGGGACTGTTGAATCCGGAACACTGGCTGATGCATGGAAAGACATGAAACCAGAAAGGTCTTAGAAGATGGGAAGGCTATCCCAAGACTGTTTCAAGAATACCAGAAGGGGTGTCAGGAGCAGGAAGGAATTGCACAGAACTCAGAGTTCTTTCTGTAGATGAGAAGCACAGTGAAGTCATAGATTGGGGAAGAGATGGAAGAGTAAGAACAAGAGGAGTTGGGACAGCAAGGGGACATGATCATCGAAGGTATGTTGGCCTGAGGAGCAAAGGGCGGTGAGTGGGAGTGGCAGGAATTTGGATTGGGGTAATCATGGGCAAGAAGCCACAACCACAGGGTTTGATGGACAATGTGGATGATATTTAAAGACTGGCATAGCCAAACGATGTAAAGAATGTGAAAGCCTGCATTGCTCTTTACCCATTGAGGTCCTCTATTTCAACATCATAGAACAACTAAAAATAATTAGGTAGTCTTTAAGGGCTCCTAATATGGAAATTTCTGTCTCTGCCTCTGCAACCACCCCCTGTGTGTGTGTCCATATGCATGGAGTGTGTATGTGTGTTTATGATGTGTTACCAGAGATTGAACCCAGTGCCTTGTGTGTGGTATTGACCTAGAGATTCAATGCAAAAGCTCAGCCTCAGCTATAAAATTCTTAAAGGAACATTCAACACTTTCCTTAACCCTGGAGTTTCTGGATGGAACTTAGCTCACATTATTGATACGGAGGCTGCACAATGTTCTGGCTATGACAAACAAGGCTGCTATGAACATAGTTGAGCACATGTCCTTGTGGCACAATTGAGCATCCTTTGGGTATATCCCAAAAGTAGTATTGCTGGGTCTTGAGGAAGGTTGACCTAAATGCCCCTCGACTGAAGAATGGATAAGGAAAATGTGGTACATTTACACAATGGAGTACTACACAGCAGAAAAAATAACAACACCTTAAATTTTTCAGGCAAATGGATGGAGCTAGAAAACATCATTTTGCATGAGGTAACCCAGACCCAGAAAGACAACTATCACATGTACTCACTCATAAGTATATTTTAAAGATAAAACAAAGAAAACCAGCCCACAAATCACAATCTTAGAGAACCTAGACAACAATGAGGACCCTAAGTGAGACTTACATAGATCTAATCTACATGGGAAGTAGAAAAAGACAAGATCTCCTGAGTAAATTGGGAACGTTGGGACCTTCGTAAGGGTTTAAAGGGAGGGGAGAGAGAAAAATGTAGAGCTCAATAAAGATCAATAAAAAAGAATGATTTCATGAAATTCATACTCAGTTTCAATGAACCCATTAAATTATTGTAGTCACTTCCCAAATCACAAATGACTGCTTAGCTCTTAAACATTTTAGAAATCTTAATTTATGTAAAACAAAATTTTAAGACACTCAAGACTTCCTTCCAAAGCAGAAAAGTTAGTTGCATGTTGATATTTTTCTTCATTCAGAATTCAGTAAATATTCCCTGTAGAGCAAGTCTGTGCCAGGCACTGTTCCATACATTGGGAAAAACAGTGAAGGAAATGGAAAACAAGCCCCACGTTGCAGAAGCGCGGCTCTAAGGGAGAAATACAGATAGTCAGTATATACAAAGAATATGTGGTACTTTCAGGAAGGAGTGAGGTCAAGTAAGAATTAAGATAGAGGTCTCCAGGAGTGCCGGGAAGCAGCCGCTTTCCATAGGGTTCAAAAACCACCGCTGCTGACAAGGTGCCTACAGCAGGGAGCTGATGCAGAAGAGCCAGCTGGATGAAGATCTGGATGGAGGTATTGTAGGTCGAATAAATAAAGATGATGAAGGGATGAAGGCTGTCCAACAAGATTAACTTTGCAGAAGAGATCTAAACACAATCAATCCCTGTCCTGCAGTCTAATGAGCAAGTCCCAGCTTTCCCCACCTTTGGTTGTGTTTTATCATGGTAATTCCAGTTTCACGGGCTGCATACTGGTTAAGGACAGATTTTGAGAGCTGTGGGTACCTCTCTGTGGTAAAGCATTTGCCTATGCATGGGCAAAGCTTCGTGTTTGATTTTCAGCACTGCATGAAGAAGACAGTGACTGCAGTTGCATTTGGATTCTGACCTTTAGAGCCAGGGAGATGGCTCAGGTGTTAAGGGACCAGAGTTCAACTCCCCCAAAAGGTTGTTCAGAACCATCGATAACTTTAGTTCTGAAGGATCTGCTGCTCTCTTTTGCCACAGGAATGCAAATGGGGCTTAGGCACACATGGAGGAAAAAAAAAAACACTCAAACACCAAAACTAGTGAAATAATTTAAAATAAATAAGTTGATTCACACCCCTTTAAGCTGTTTGTCTTGGTAAACTTCTGCACACCAGAATCATTCTGACATATCTTATAACCTATAGCACAGTAGTAATAATAATAATTGCCTCAATTACTATAAGGATTAAAAGACAGCTTAGTCATTGGGAGATGCTAGTTAAGGAAATGCTTGATTATACAAAGTACTTCTTATATAATGTAATTCTGCAGCCACCTCTCTCTCCCACCCCATTGCATTATATGGGGCAAATAAAACCTTTTAGTTTTATTTCCTTAATGATTATTGTTGGTTCTGAATATGATATAATTTAACCAACTCTCCGGGAAGCAACTTGTAGGTTTTTCTTCATGAGCTCTACAGTAGTGACAGCCTGTGTGTGGATGCCCAGGGAACCTGTGAAACTCACCGATTGCAGTAGTTTTAAGGGTCATGGCTGATTTTAAAGGGTTTCCCACGAGGCTTCTACTAAATGGAGGTGAAAGGCACGCTGTGAGCTGCTATCCAACCAGGTGAAACTGTTCCTGCAGTTAATTATGCTCATGTGTGTGCATGCATACACACACAAACACTTTGGTTGCTAAAAGGTAAACGTATTCTATTTTATCATGGGTTAAAAAAAAAGGACAAAGAAAATCTACCAACTCCTGTTAGATTTTTTTTTTAAATCCAATAAAATTAGACAGAGTGGTTATAAGGCAACTATTTAAACAGAAAATACCTTTCAACATTTTTACATTCCTAATTTCAATATTTGACTTAAAGTTTATGAAAGTTGCCTAAAACATTTCTTTACTAAATGTTCAGGATGTTCTGCAGGAAAAGAAGATGAGGAAATTATTGAATTTCTTCGTAAAGAAACCTAGAGTAGCCTAAAGCACATGAAAATTGTTGCAAAACATCTCTATACAGTACCTCTTTGGAAAACAGTAAAGAATGTCCAAAAATAAGCTTTGTGTAACAGCTGAAGTTGTGTGAATTTAAACTTACGTAGATGATATTCACTGTGTCAAATGAAATTATTAGGCAACTATAGTTAACATTCATATTAGCTGGTTATTAGGAATTTCTGAAATAAAATTACTTTCATTTATCATGTACTTCATATAAAAATAATCCAATACTATGATTTATTTATTAAATAAATTAGCTTTATTACATAAAACTTACACACGTACTCCTAAACTTTTAAATGTGGACCTTCCTTCCTTCCTTCCTTCCTTCTCTTCCTTCCTTCTCTTCCTTCCTTTTCTTCCTTCCTTCCTTCGTTCCCTCCCTCCCTCCCCCTCCCACCCTCTCTTTCTCTCCTTTCTTATTATTATGTTAAGACAGTATCTCACTATGCAGACCAGACAAGCCTTTGATTCACAGACATCAGCCTGCTTCTGTCTTGTGAGTGCTGGGATTAACCATACGTGCTACATGTCCAACTAAAATGTGACTTTGTAAAAGGCACATTGGTGACAATGCTACTTTTTGAATTTGTTAACATACAAAATACAAACATTAGAAGAGAGTTTGAGATTAAGCTGAATCTGTTTGGTCTAATTTTAAGATCATGTAGCTAGGTTCTAAGTAACTTTGCTGAGGTCACAAAACTAAACTAGACCTTTCCCTCTTACATTGTGATTTTTCTTTTACTTTTAGGTCTAATGGGTGTATGACTTAATTTTTGTTCCTGTCCATGTCTGACTAGATGATATAATACAATAGCAATATTATACAGAACAGAAAAGCAGATCTTTAAGCTTCTATTTCTTTAACATTATGTCAAGTCGTTGATAGAAGTATTGATCCTTTTTATTATGTGTAACTAATGAAATGTATTTAAAACTATGCTTGTAATTTTAGAGTATTAAAGTTATAAAATCCCAAGTTAAAGTCCTACAGATTAGGTCTCCTCTTTTTGTGGGAAGCACAAAAGGGAGGCTTCGTGGTGTACGTATGTACAACCTCTAACTCGGTAAACTTGTTTGTTTCTGACAAGCTTCTTCAGTGCCCTGTGATCTTTATTCTTATTTTCATTTTTGTTTACAGAAAGCCAGGCACAAAGTAGAATGCGTGGATTTGCGTGGTGCACATATAGAATGGGCCAAGGAAAAATCAAGCAGGAAGAGTGTCTTTCAGGTAGGAATGCCACATGTACTCAATTTATTCCTGTTTCCTCTAAACCGGAGCACTCTTGGGTAATCAGAATGAGATTACCTTCCTATGATGTTTCCGTGTGCATGAGCTACTCGTCTGAAGGCCATTATGAAAGACTGACTCTGACTCCTCTTCCTTCTGGAACCGTGAGTTTATTTTGTGTTTCCCCCTGATGCCTGGTTGCTATCTAGACACAAAATAGATGCTCTGTGCCGGTTATTATACAGCAACATCATTGAACTTTGCAATGTATTTGATAGCTGCTTGGGGTGCCAACCTAGAATGCTTTGCTTAAATAGATGTGACGTGGCACTTTCAAACGTACACAAATTACGATTCCCTAATTATAAGCTATTTTCATTCATTGCCATTCCTGCCTTTCAGTCATTAAGAACATTTACCAGCGGAAGTGAGGAGCAGGGGAGAACAGAGCAGCCTGTTGGTGAAGGCAAGGACATGCGAAAGGGAGGAGGGAGAGAAATCAGAATGCATTCTATACATGGACGAAGTTGTCAAAGCACAAATTTAATTAATAATAAATTTTAAACCAGATCCTTTTATATTGACTATTTTCACTTTGGGAAGAAAATTGCTATGATCGATTAACAGTCAGAATCATAGTCCACTGAGTATAAAATAAACCACAAAATCCTTGAATGAATAGAAACCATCTCACTTGTGAAATTAATTCAGATTATAATTATTTCAGATTATAAAATTGATATGTTTTCCATTTTAAGTTATATATAACGTTTACATTTTTAATTTTGTTATATTTTAGAATTATCCCATTTAGGAGTGAAGGGAGCGGATTAATACTTATTTATTGATATTAAATATTTTCTGAAGTAATTCTACTTTTTAACTAAAAGTAAGTTATTTTGTAATAAAATACATTGATGAAATCAGTATAAGGACCTTGCAGTAGCATATGTGGTGGCCTTTCCCGCTTCTACCCATATGAGGGGAAATAGCTCACTTCCAGTGTATCCAGTATGGGTTACTTCCTCCCGGAACTTATTCAGATATAGTAAAATAATTCAGTCCTATTCAGATTTAAAAAGAAGAAAAGCTATGCATGTCCTAGAATAAATTATCTTTCCGTTTCTAGTTTTGCTCTACTTAAATATAGAGATGCTTTTAACCAAAAATTAAGTGAAAGGATAGATATAATTATCATCTGTCAACTAAAAATACAATTTTAAACAAGAAGGAGGAAGGAAGGAAGGAGGCAGGAAGGCACACGTAGGGAGAGTGATCTCAAACCAAATGGCAGAGAATTTAGAGAACCAAGGTATAAATAATAAGATGAACTTTGTTTGAGAATGAGAAGGTAAGAATCGGTAAAAAATAACCCTCTCCTCTTATTTCTGTCTCTTGGTATTATGCCAACACCAATAATAAAACATAAGGGTCATAATTCAAGTCACTGACAATCTAAGACAGTGGCTCTCATCCTGAGGGTCGTGACCCCTTGGAACACCTCTATCTCCAAAAAAATATTTACATTAGAATTCATAACAGTAGCAAAGTAGAGTTTTGAAGCAACAATGAAAATAATTTTATGGTTGGAGGCTGCCACAACATAATGAACTGTATTAAAGAGTTGCGGCATTAGGAAGGTAGAGAACCACTGATCTAGGGCATGATCAGATAAGCTAAATGTTGTATGTCTACATGCATTGTGGGTACCCCAATTAAGAAGTTGTAAAAAAAAGATATCGTGCTCAATTTTAAGAACATGATGTTTGTAAAATGGATCATTTTTTTAGATCTCTGAGGCCAGTTTTTCTGCATTTATCTCTGTAAAGTTTCAACTAGACCAAAAATGAGGCTACTGTCAACTCTGAGGTGCACAAATGATGGTATATATCATCCCTAGCTTTTGAACTATTGCTAATGTTCATTCCTTTATAATTTCCATTTGAATTTTATATATACTTCTGAAAGCAGCTTCTTCCAAACACATTGAAGTCTATTTCACCGTTTGCACATTTAGTGGCTTGAAAAATTTTGTCATCTATTTTTGCTTTTGATATAATTGAACAATTCATGGGGCCTTGAGCCTTCAATATTTACACAGATGATTGGCAGATGGGTACATGCACAAATAGATAGCATGATTCATATATAGATGATGATGATGATGAAGATAGATAGATAGATAGATAGATAGATAGATAGATAGATAGACCGAGAATAGGTGGATAAACTCTTGATAGTTTTGTATGTAGAAATAAAAGGCTATAAAGATATTGTGAACACAAAAGTTACGGAAAATTCTGGTATGAGTTTCTGTTGGATAAACCATCTTGCTTTCCACAAGCTTAGGTTAAAATTTACTAATATGCACCCATCAAGGAGATCAGAACTGTCAGTCGTTTGAGTAGAATAACGTGAATTGCTTTTATAGTTCTGCTAGCAAAAAAGCATTGGGAAGAATTTGCAGCCGACTAAGTCCAGATGATGTTGTGCATCAATATTTGATTAGATACATTAGCTGGGCTAACTCTCAAGTGATCAGAATAAACATGATTACAACTCAAAACACAGTATTAAGGCATGGGTGGGTGTTTGAGAGTGCAGAAGGGTTTCCTTACCTACTGAATAATGAAACGTTTCTTCCCGACTGAAAAAGACCCTTCTCACTTTAGCTGAGGTACCAGATCAAAAATAGTTTTAGGATTCCAAGTTTGAATTAGGCTTGATATTCAATCTCAGCCTATGAATTATAGATTACAGACAGCAAATGACTATTGAGATTTTTAGTTCCAGAAGAATCAAAGAAGAGCAAAATTAGAAATAATTTAAAATTTGAAATCTGTCTTTAAAAAGTTGACGGATTGGCAATTATATACCACATAATTACCATGTCTGCAGAGAAGTCAAACTTGAAATGAAGAGGAAAACAAACAAAAAAATTGTGAGTGCCGGAGATATGCTGGAGGCACACATTTTTGATACAGAAAGATGGAATATTTTCATACACTGTTTATACTTTGTAGACATATGATTTGTTCACTTTCTGCATTTAACAAAATCCAAGTTTTATTAACAGTTAAATTTCCATCAAACTCAATGTGGGTTCAGTCTTCTTCTAATAGTACATGCTAATATCATAGTGATAAAATTATAGTATATAATTTAGTATATATAGTATAAATTTAGTATATAATAACTCTTGGTAAATCAAAATGGTATTCACTTTCTGAAATGAGGAATCTCTGCCTGTTTTGGAACTGGAATCTTTGGGCTACTTTTGTCTGATAGGCATTGTTCAAGAGCAAGTAACGTTTTTTAAAAAAAGTGCTGTATGTCTTTAAAAAGTCTCCTGTCTATGTAATCAGAGGTGTCAAACAATTCTATAAATACATCTTTAAAGAACATCATCAGGTGTACATTTATATAGAATTTCTTGATCTTACAAGAAATTACACACACACACACATATACACACACGAAGCTTTGCACTTATGAAAGGGCCTTACAAATTCTAAACTAAATTGCTGTATGTCCACTGCTCTAATGGTTGTTTAATCCTCCAGAAAGGGTAATCATGAATTATCACAATTTTGATGTAACTTGAGAAGGTATTTCATCAGTGAGTAATTTGGGATGAACTTTAGACAAGTTTTCTTAGTTAACTAAAAGCAATGCCAGGTCTTCATCGGGGAGAGCCTGGGCAAAAAGATTTATGCGCAAATCACATGTTTTAAACATTTCTGCTAAGTGCTGGTTTTCTCTTTTGTGGTTAGCCTGAAACTTAATGCACCAAGGATTAAAAGGATTACAACATAATCTTAAATAATCCCAAATGTCATTTACATAGAGATAGTTGTAATAACTAAACAAAACTCCGCTAAAGGGTTGTAGTACTGTAAGGCAGCATCCGAAGCACAAGGGGAGGTCATATCTTCTCTTGTCTCGCTGGCCACACTGGGCATTCACACTGCGTTACATCAGGAAGGTTAACTGATAACATAGTTTGGAAATTAGCTACAGAAACACTAACACATCATTTGGGGGAAGCTTTAAAGAAAATCTTGTTTCAAAGTTGACAGGAAATTTTCATTTAAGTTGTTTCTCTTCCTTTGAGTTTGAGGTTCTCTGAACAATGTCTTTGGAAGTCTAGGGTGGGAAACTCATGACATGCTGTCAAACAGAGGGCACAACACAAATATGCTCCCAGCCTTCCAGGAATGCCACGTGTTAAAAACGAGAAGGAGCTGGGCATGGTGGTGCCAAGCCTTTAATCCCAGTCCTTCTGAGGCAGATGCAGGTGATCTCTGTGAGTGTGAGGCCAGCCTGGTCTGCTTAGTGAGTTCAAGGGCAGTCAGAGCTATATAGAAAACCTGTCTCAGAAAAAAATGATTATGAAAACAGAAACAAGACTGAAGACAAAGCAATTAATTCCATTCAATTAAGTTATCACATGATACTCTTTCCCAGCAAGTAAAGCAGTTTTAGATGTGAGACTGGAAATTATCTCAGTTACTGTACCTATTGAGCCAGGAGACTGGGCATGCCCTAGCTGCTCAGATTGTGACTGCTGGGGCCAGATTTGAATGCATGCAGTATGACAAACAACACTGAAAACAGTTAGGGAATACTATCTGCAACATTACCCTTGCGTTACAAGATTCCCAAAGAGTAACTGAATAAAGAACTAGAAGATACTGTGTGTTTCCTTGGTTCTTTTCTCAGTAGGCAGTAGGACAGTAACTAGTTTTTACGATATTGAATCATCTGTCCTCTGAATACATATTTGCCTCCTACCTAGTATGGCTGAATAGGTTTCACTGTTTTCTAAACAAATTTTATGATATTTGACAGTGCGATTTATTGGCTTTCTCTAGATTACATGTGTTAAGTCGTAAAACTCTACCAGTTAATAAATAATGAATAGAACTATGCCAACTGCCCATCTGTAAGACAGGAAACATGGAGACGACTTGGTTCATACCTCCATCAGAAGTTCACAA